GGCATCTAGACCATTACAAAGTAAAGTTTTCCCTTCTGAATTCATACTAAAGAGGATCTAAAAATCCTATCATTGATATGATAAAATCTGTTGTAGGGATACGGGCTATTTTTGTATGTTCTGGAAAGAACTATTATCTCAATTCATTTGACTCAAGGGAATGGATAACTCAGTATTTTGTTTGGTTAAACAACAAGGATTATGAAAGACAATGTACTAGATGCAAAATTATGAGATCTCTGGGTAGATGCCAACATTATCTACAGCTTCATAGAATAAAAATAATCAAGTGTGGTCCCAAAGATTCATCATACTGAACAGTTACTAATGAATACAGCTGAACAATTATGATTTCCTGTAGCTCTGCTTATTTTGATGTTAAATGATAAATAGCTTTTGAAAAAAATGAGAAAGTAAAGGCAAATATGATGGTACTGTAACACTGGGTTGTGCATCTGTATTGTATATTGCTGGGGACTGAACCCAAGACCTTGGTAAGGTTAAGCAAGTGATCTGCTACCAAGCTAGAGGCTCAGCCCTTATCCAGTCTTGACACTAACAATACTTCCAAAACTCTCCATTCACTGTTGCCATTTTTAGCTTGGGTACAAGTATAAAATCAAGCATTTTATTTTTAAAATGTTTTTATGCGTATTAGTATTTTATCTGTGTATATGTATCTGTACCACATCTGTGTCTGGTACCCATAGAGATCAGAAGAGGGTATCAGATCTTCTGCAACTGGAATTGTGGATGGCTGTGTACTAGCATGTGGTGATGGGAACTGAACCTGGTTCCTCTGCAGGAGCAACAAGTGCTCTTAACCACTAAGCCATGTCTTCAACCCCACATTCTGTTTTTGCAAGTTAAAAATCCAACCAAACTACAACCACAAACCAAAAAACAAAAACAACAACAACAAAAAACAAAAAACAGAAGCCCTTAACATTTTCCTCCTTGGAATCTGAACTGGTCATCTCATTCTAGACCATATCCTGTCATTGGATGGATAGGAGACTTAAACTTGTGGGTTATCTTCTACAAGGAAAATCCATTCCAAATTTTACAATGCAGCCAATAGCAATCCAAAAGGACCCATGTTTTCCTCTCTTAGGGGAATTACTCCATTTCCTTCTTTCCACCTCAGTCTGGAGAGAGCCTCTGTTTTGAGGGTTATACATAGTCCATGTTGGCCAATGGCATAGTAAACTGTGCTGAGGGAGATATGTCAACACTCACCATTTAATTCGGTGAGGAGCTAATTTTACGAACACCAGTGCTTAAGACAGTACTGTGTGTGATTGTGGAAAGTACATTCTCTAGGAAAATGAGAGTGGGAACTTCGCCGCAAGAAACTGACATTATTTACGGGTGGAACTTTGTATTCAAGCAGTGCTACAGGCATTTGTGTTTACCAACAAAGGTGAGACATGAACTTAGAAGTTATCTATAGACTTTGGGAGCAAATCAGACTGCTCTAACTTATTTGGCTTTGATTCTTTCCAGAATTATTCTGACAACAGTACTAGAAGGAAGTAGGAATTTATTACACCCACTGAAAACTTTTCATAATGCCCGTTGGCACCAGAAAGGAATAATTTTTAAGGAAATGAATGCTCAGTTACTTTGGAATGTAGAACTGTACTTGAGGGAAACATCATGTGGAATTACATTTTTCCCCTACTAAATTTTACTTTTGAAAGAACGTCGGGGGAATATAGATCTGGAAGTGGTGTCTGCTTCCACTGTTATAGTAGTCTAGAAAGGAACTGGTACTAGGAACTTAGTAACAACGAAGTAGCTAAGATACACACGCACACCACTGCCCCTGTACTCAGCAAAACATTGGGTCAAGAACGTTAGACGAACCAGCACTACATAAGGAACTAATTGCAGGGTCAAGACTGGACTGGTTTTGGGGTACATGCATTAGATCACCAAGTTCAATGCTTACTGGGTGGTCTTGAGCATTTTGCGACTAACACTCAGTTTCGCCATTTACAAAATGGAAATAATGGTAGCATTTACATTGTGACAGATACTTTGAGGAATAAATGAGGTAATAACTACAAAATACTTAATGTCTGGATCATAGTAAATTCTCAGTAAGTGTCAGACATAATTTTTACTACTATGATTATTATTACATGTAATATAAGACATTTATTTGCTTATTTAAAATACTTTGAAACTAAAAGTAAATAATACATTATGCATATTTAAATATGCCAGTTCAGTTGGTCAATATTAATAAGAAGTGTACTTTTAAAAGTGTGCACCCATGAAATACCACCAACATGGCTGCCTAAACATGCCTGAATAAGATGGCACCAATAGACACGCTAACATGGATGAGTGGGGTGGAGGGCTCACAAGGTCTCAAAATGCTGAGGGAGGAAGAAATTGCCTTCTCTAGGAATGAGCACACCAGTTGGTTTTCCAATACCCAACATTTAGTTCCAAAAACACACATACAAATAATAGACTGAGTACCTTCTATTTACATATTTATGAACACACATACACACACACACACACACACACAGGGAAGAATCTGGAAGGGTTTGAAGGGAAGAAAGAGAATGGAGAAATGATGTAATTATATTATAATCTCAAAAATTAAAAACATTGTGGTTAAAAAGTATGATAATAAGGTTCATACTCCAATTTACTCTGAAAAGCCATTTTTCTACTTGCTATCTGCTACCACATTGATCAGCCTAGAAGTCATTAAGCTAAGTGAAACGAGCCAAACACGGACAGGCAATTACTGTAGTACAAAGTTAACGTCCTGGAAGCAAAAACGGGAACAATGGTGAAAGGCCTGTGGGGTGGTGGAAAGGAGGAGATGACTGCTCAAAGGCACAAAGTCAGTTACCAAATGAACACATTTGGGGATATTTAATAGACACTATGGGCAGTATTAGATGTATTAACTAATTTGACTGTAGGAATTAATATCTGCTGCATATGTATATCAGACTGTTACATTTTGTGTTTTAAATATGTTCAATCTTTGACTGAATATGCCAAAATGTCTTGCTCAGAGGGGCACAAGGGTATAATTAACTCATGTTGACATGTATGCTAACAAAACTGGCTAAACACAAAACTCATTGCTACTGCTCCAGACCAACTGAGGGTTTGTACAACATTTTATGCAGTAAATCCTTTGCCCTGAATTCTTAGTGAATGCTAAGGTTTTATTCTTAAGGCTGACACTTTCTTTAGACACAGATGGCACATGAAGGTTTGAGTGTTGGAAATGAGAACTGTTGCAATGCCCTGGAACACAGGCTCAGGTGCCAGGTACCCTGAAGATCTACTCTTTACCCAGACACTTGCTGCATGAAGGTAAAAGGTCCTTAGCGTCTATCTTCAGTCTTTCCATTTGTAAAATGTGTCATGGATAGTATAGAGTTTAGAAGATGGTGATGAGCATTAGATGAGCCAATCAGCATATAATAGCACAAATCCTGGCATCTGATAACTAATCAGTAAATGATGGTTATTATTTTTATGATGTTACTAATTTCATCAATTTTCTTCCTAGGCTATTGCAATAGTTTTCATTAATCCTCAGTCTCCTACATTTTACTCAGTATCATTTATAATTTGTATTACCCATAAAGCTGGCTCTAAGAGGAATAAATTGAGAGAGTATGAAGGGTCTGTACTAAAGCAACAATTATAAAACACTTTGAGGAACATGATTTGATGGGTGCATTTAAAAGTATCATTTTCATAAATGGACAAAGGAATTGACTGTCTGTGAGTATTACTAGTTGATTGTCGGGGGGTTCAATTTCAGATTATAGATTGAAGAAAAACAATGAACTTCCACAAATACTTACTTCTTGATTTGGCTTTATGTGATAATGGCTTCCAGACCGCTAATGGAATTCATTTACATACACTTGAGAGGCAAGAAGTTTTGTGTTTTTCTTTAAGGGAAAGTTGACTCTAGGAAATTCTTCTACATTTCTAGCTGTTTTCATTTTGAACTGTCCAGTTTTGAGACATGAATGTTGACATTTAATTAAAAAATTTGGCTGGGGTTAAATAAATAAGACAATTTCAGGGGAATGTTTCTTAAGATAGTGAATAGGATACTGTGTCCATCTAGGGCAGAAACTGTATGATGCTGTAGGCCCTGTAGTATGAAACCATGAAGGTAGAAAACGCTTTAGGGTCAGAGCTCATGGGAACTCCCTTATGACCTGAAGCAAAGACTTCTGTAAGTGAAGAAGTGAGTGTATCATGATTAACAACCATTTCTCATTATCGTTACTGATGCTGGAGAAAGTGCAGTGGTGATGACCAACCACATGGATATTAGTGAAGACAGGCAGAGTGTGGTCACTAAGCATGCTAGTTTGTGTCTGTTAGCTGCTCTTCTTTCTTCCTCTCTCTCCTCTGTTCTCCAAGCTTCCCCTTCCCTCCTCACACCCTCACTGATATGAGTAATTTACCCATTTATTCCAATTGCACAAAATGGGACAAACTTATTGGAAAGACATTTTACTTAATAAGATTCTTTATACTTTGTTTTTCATAATTTTTCTCTGATATAGTTGTTATTTTTTGAAAAATCTACTTTTATTTTATGTATGTTCCTGCATGTATGTCTGTAATACTCTGCATGTACAATGATGGCTGAGTCTAGGAGAGGGTATTAGAACCCTTGGAACTGGAGTTACAGATGGTTTTGAGCCACTTCTCTTGCCCTGACATAGTTATACTCCATGATAGTTAAAATTTTGGTGATGTATTATCCCTCCAGGAAAATATGAAAAAAATGATATCTAAGTTATAATCAACATGTTACAAAATAAATTATTTTGTATTGATATTCTGAGGTATCACAGAACTAAGCCTTTGCTGGAAAGTAGAGTGACCATTTGTTATCAGATGGCGCACATTTATGCTCAGAGGACTTTCCCTATGACATTCCCAGCATTCGTCATGTTTGACGACAACTGTTATCTATGCCTACTTACTGGATGGAGCTCTCGATGCGGGTGATAGTGAGGAAAGCGGCAAGGTTTGCTGTGTATGAGGAGATGACAATCAGAGCAAATAACCACCATGCGCCCATCATCATTCGGGTCGCCAGAGTTGTGTATGGGACCTCCCCACCTGTGGAAAGAGGAGAGACAACAATCATGGCAACAAGCTTTTATTGAGAAGCCAAAGTCCTACACATTCAGTGCCAAAATAGGCAACAAGCAGCATTTCCCTTAACACCAGTGGAGACCTCCAAACTTCATTACTTTTGTTTTTGATTAACTTTTATGGAATTGTGTGGGACTTGGTCAAAAAGAAGCATGATAAATATTCCACATAATATGTTGAAATGATAATTTCAACAAATGATAATTCTTCCTCATTAGATCCTAAAATTAATTTCTTACTATAATCACAAATATATACTTTGTTTTCAAGGGCTTGATTATTTACTAGTTAGGTGATACTAATATTGCTATATCTCTATATAAAATATGCCTACCTTCTTCATATTTTAAATGAAATACTAGATTATTTTTATGAAATTCTCTAGGAATACAGGTTGTTGAAAATCTTGGTATCAAACATATTACCATTGACTTCAGTATCATTGTATGGGTTTCTTCCTGTCTGTATTTTAACTGGCCACTCATAGTATTCTTGGAAATCACTCTTCTCATCGTCTATACATTGGTATGTCCTTTGGAATGCTTGCATTCCATCTACGTTTTATACTATGCAACCTTAGCAAGACTTTGAATATCATCTACATTTGGTGAAGTAACACTATTTCCTCTGGTCATGAAATGATCATCAGTTTGCATAAAATGGATTGCTATGGCAGCCATGGCCAGCAGTCGTGAAAGTTTTCCTGGCTAGTTTTATGTCAACTTGACACAAGGTAAATCATCAGAGAGAGAGAGGGGAGCCTCAGTTGAGAAAATGCCTCCATGAGATTGGGCTGTAGGCAAACCTGTACAGCATTTTCTTAAGTAATGTCACTGAGAGAGGACCCAGCCCACTGTCAGTGGGGCCACCACTGGACTGGTAGTGCTGGATTCTATAAGAAAGCAGGCTGAT